CAGAATAGAGAGGGCGGTGTCCCCTAAACTACCCTCGCCACCCACGCCTCAGTTATACCCGCGTCTAGGGCGGCAGAATAGAGAGGGCGGCATGCCCTAAACTACCCTCGCCACCCGCGCCTCAGTTATATTGGCGTCTAGGGCGGCAGAATAGAGAGGGCGGCGTCCCCTAAACTACCCTCGCCATCCGCGCCTCAGGCGGCGTCCTCTAAACTACCCTCGCCACCCGCGCCTCAGGCGGCGTCCTCTAAACTACCCTCGCCACCCGCGCCTCAGGCGGCGTCCTCTAAACTACCCTCGCCACCCGCGCCTCAGGCGGCGTCCTCTAAACTACCCTCGCCACCCGCGCCTCAGGCGGCGTCCTCTAAACTACCCTCGCCACCCGCGCCTCAGGCGGCGTCCCCTAAACTACCCTCGCCATCCGCGCCTCAGGCGGCGTCCTCTAAACTACCCTCGCCACCCGCGCCTCAGGCGGCGTCCTCTAAACTACCCTCGCCACCCGCGCCTCAGGCGGCGTCCTCTAAACTACCCTCGCCACCCGCGCCTCAGGCGGCGTCCTCTAAACTACCCTCGCCACCCGCGCCTCAGGCGGCGTCCCCTAAACTACCCTCGCCATCCGCGCCTCAGGCGGCGTCCTCTAAACTACCCTCGCCACCCGCGCCTCAGGCGGCGTCCTCTAAACTACCCTCGCCACCCGCGCCTCAGGCGGCGTCCTCTAAACTACCCTCGCCACCCGCGCCTCAGGCGGCGTCCTCTAAACTACCCTCGCCACCCGCGCCTCAGGCGGCGTCCTCATAACTACCCTCGCCACCCGCGCCTCAGGCGGCGTCCTCTAAACTACCCTCGCCACCCGCGCCTCAGGCGGCGTCCTCTAAACTACCCTCGCCACCCGCGCCTCAGTTATATCGCCAACTAGGGCGGCAGAATAGAGCCCCATCCCCCCCGTTTTCACTTTAGGTTTGAGGGCGGCGTGACCGTCCTTTGCCTAGAGCGGCAGTTCAGCTTGCTCCGGCCCTGTATGCTCTACAGAAACGGCTGCGATTGGCTTTAATGGTCAGTGCGGCTCTGGTGCTGTTAAGCAAACAGTGACATGGACCCTGATGTTAGACGGCCGCGGCGATCAGCTGATCCATTATAGGCGGTGGATGATGGAGTAAACTCGCTCTGAAGACGCACTCGTGTCTGGATCCACATATAACGTTAACAACTGAGAGAGGGGATAAAACGTTACCTCACCAACACAGCAGCAGACAGTTGCTAGGGTGCAGTAAATGGTTGCTAGGGTGTGGCTAGTAAGTGGAACGGTCATCAGTGATTGGTAGATTGGTAGTCTGAGTTAAATGAGCCCAACCTTCTGTCATCCTAACCTTCCTAAGTCTGTATGACAGTCTGGCGGAAAGTTATGATGTCACAAAGTTTGGTCCAACATTAAGACTACTCTGAATTATCCGGGTCAGTTTTCGGAAAACCGTAAGTCAGATTAGTTGGGAAAGATAAAGCAATCCGAGTCAGAGTTGTTTGGAGGTCTGGAGTAAGTGTGGTGGTTGTAGTATGAACGATCTAGAAAGAGATGCATATCAGTCTCAGAAGAAGAAGAAGGTGACGGAAGAAATAATAAGTTTATGTGGTATAACAGTGTTTTGGCTTTCTCAAGCCACCATAAATATATTATTTATATTGTATTTAATTATATATATTATTGTTATTATTATCATTAGTATTATTATTTTACTACTATCTATTGTGTGTACTGTGTTTTTTTTTTATATATGTATGTTCTTTTTTATTTAATTATTATTATTATTATTATTTTATTTAATAATTATAATTTTTTTATTTAATTATTATTATTATGATTTTATTTTTTAAAATTATTATTATTATTTTAATTAATTAATTTATTATTTTTTATTTAATTATTATTATTATTATTATTATTAATTATTATTAT